CGCAGGTGCCCTGCCCCCCCCGGTCCCCCTGGCCCCAGTGAAAGGCTGTGGAGCAGGCTGGGAGGAACAGGCAGGAGCATCAGTGCTGCCTTGGCCCCACGCAGCATCCATCAGCTACAGGATTCATGAGCTGCTCCACAACCTCATTATCTCTCCCCAGAGCTAATTAACTCCTTCACCTTTGGGGCTAGGGATAATTAAGCAAGTGCCTGGTGGTGTGGGGAGTCAGTCTGTTGGTCTGTCTGATGCTTCCCTGCAATGCTGCTCCTCATCCCTCTGTCTCCAGCTGTCCTGTTCCTATCCCCTCTGCCCCGTGCCTCCCCCAGGGGAGGGCAGGCAGGTGTGTGTGCATGGGTGTGTGTGCACACCTGTTGGAGGAGCGGGGGATTTTGGAGATGGGTAGCAAAGAGAAAGGGGACAAGGGGCTGTGGGACAGGGACAGCATCCAGGGGGTCCTTGGGGTGGCAGGGGCCATTGGGAGCTGGCTGAGAAGCGGCACCCATGAGCCAGTGTGGGTGCTGCTGGGGCATCCAGGGGTGCATGGGCAGGGGGCTGCGACCCCTGGGCTGTGTCTCCGGGGTGGCAGTAGGCCAGGGGAGATTGATGCCTCTGGGGTGATCCCTAATGAAAGGGGCCACGTCCCCCCTGCTGTCTGTCAGAGTGGTTTTGGCACTGGCATTTGTCAGTGGAGTGGAAAATTAGTGGGGCTGAAAAACGGGTTGGGGACAGCCCCACTGGGGGGGACATCGGGGACCCCATGGCATGGCACTGGGACACCCGGCCCCCAGTGCCACATGGGGGTGACTGCTGGAAGGGATCTGGGGGAGCAGGGATGAGATGGGGGTGATGCCATTGCCAGGACAGACATGGGGTGCAGGCAGTGGGGCACATTGTCCCCATGCCCCAACCTCTGTGGCACCCCTGAAAGTGGCGAGCTGGGACATAGGGGGACTATTTTTGCATTTGCTTGCTGGGGGTCTGCAGGGCCCCCTCATCCCCTCACCGAGCCAAGGGCCCTGCCGATAACATGGAGCCATTAATCAATCAAGGAGCTAATTGCAGCACCACAATGGCTGTGGCACCTCCCCAGGCTTTTGTGCCACTTACCCTGGGCTGGGGCCGTCACTCTGCAGGGATGCAGATAGGTGCCTTTGTCAGCAGGACAGGCACTGTATGCCCACCCCTTGTGGCCCTGAGCTTAATGGTGAGCCGCTTTCATTAGCTGCCACGGTCAGGGAGGGGGGAAGAGAAGTCTGTGGGCCATTGATCAGGGGCTGAGACCCTGCAAACTTGTTGGCAGCTGCCAGGGTGATGGGGAGCCCTTGAATCCGTCCCCCCCAACGTGATGGGACCGGTGCTGGCAGCCCCCTGGACAGGGCTGGCGAGGGACTGCTGGCAGATATTAAGTCAATATCTCTGCCTTTTTCCCAGGAGGATAAACTCCTCTCCCCCTTCCTGACTGGGCGAACAACAGAGACACACACAAAAAAAAAAAGTTAAATGAACTCAGTAAAGGAATAAAAAGAGCTCATTTTTCAGGCTTATGTGAAGAAGCCGAGCTGATATCGGGGCCATAAATTAGGGATGGTGGAGGTTGGCGGTGAGTGCCGGCTTCGTTTGAGGGGCAAAGCGCAGCCGTGACAACCTCCCCCAGCTAAATGGATGGCTTTCCGATACCACCCGCGCCCCGCCGCCCCGCAGGAGGAATAAATATGGAGTGGGATGGGACGGATGGGATGGAATGCTTATGCAAAGAAGCCAAGCCAATATCAGGGCCATAAATTAGGGATGCTGGAGGAGAGCAGTGAGTGACAGCTTTGTTTGAGGGGCGAAGTGCAGCTGTGACAGCCTCCCCCAGCCAAATGGATGACTTTCTGATACCACCCATGCTCCGCTGCCCTGCAGGAAGAATAAATACGGGATGGGATGGGACAGGACAGGATGCTTATCCCTCCTCTACCCTGCTGCAGTCCCCAGCCGCTGCCTGGACCATTACCCCAAGGTGCTGTAGGGCAGAGTAAGGCTGTGGGGCTATTTGGGGGTGCTGGGAAAGTGGGGAGGGGGTTGTAAAAGGACCTGGTGGCTGTGGGGACCATGCTGGTCCATGCTGGGCTCCCAGAGCCCTGATGACCCCATGTCCCCTTGCCCCATGGCCTCGGTGTGGGTGGTGATGTTGGGGGGCCAGGGTCTCTATTGGGGGCACTTGAAGGGAATTTGGGGTCAGGTCTCTTGGGAGGAGGTGCCAAAGGCCTTTAAGAAGTTGGGGAGGGCTGCTGGGGGGATCTGTGAGGTGGGGAGTCTCTCTGGGGACTCATGGAGGAGTTCCTTTCTATGGGGCTCTGAGGGGGATTTTTAAGAGAGAACCTCTCCATGGAGAGGTTATAGGGTGAGTCCCTCCAGAAGGGTTATGGGAGGAGTCCCTCTTCAGAGAGGGTTATAAGGTGAGTCCCTCTATAAACTGTAGGGCATGGTCTCTCTTTATTGGGCTCTGAAAGGGGGTAACAGATAGAGTCCTTCTAGGATGCTCTGAGAGATTTTGGGCGGAGATTCTCTATAGGGAGCTCTAAGAGTTGGAGAGGGAGACCCTCTCTAAGAGGCTCTGGAGGAGGCCCTTTGCCCAGCCTGCCAAGCCTCCACATCCCAGCTGAGAGTGTACCTGACCCCCCTGCCCCACCGATAGCTCCATCGATGGGAACCCTGTGCCAGCATGCCAGGGTCTGCCCTGCTCACAGGCACAGCACCGCTCTCCCAGGCACCCTGGGGTCCTGCCTGCACCCCCCATGCCCATGGGTGCTCACCCGGGCATGGAGAGACGGGTTTCCTCTCAGGGGCCAGCTGGTACCTGCAGTGGCAGTGGGGACAAGGTGGGGGCCGTGTCCCCAGGGAGCGAGGGTCCCTGTGGACTCACTCTGCACCCTTTTCTCTCTCCTGCACGTGGCTGGAAGGGACACCTGTGAACCGCATCCCCATCATGGCCAAGCAAGTGCTGGACCTGTACACGCTCTACCGGCTGGTGACAGACAAGGGTGGCCTGGTCGAAGTCATCAACAAGAAGATCTGGCAGGAGATCACCAAGGGCCTCAACCTACCTACCTCCATCACCAGCGCTGCCTTCACCCTCCGCACACAGTGAGAGCCTGGCGGTGGTGGTGGGTGGGGGGCACCCACCCTGGGGCACCTGCTGGCTCAGATGTCCCAGAGCCCCCACCGGGGTGCAGCATGGGGTGCCCCAAAGGGGCATGGAGGGCTCTGCCCCTTCCCAGATGCCATCCCCACCCTGGTCCCCGTTCAGCGCGGGGCTGGCTGGGAGGCACATGATGCTGGGTCTCATCCTGGCTCTCTCCCCATGCAGATACATGAAGTACCTGTACCCGTACGAATGTGCAAAGCAGGCACTCAGCTCTCCCAGGGAGCTCCAAGCCGCCATCGACAGCAACCGGCGGGAGGGACGGAGGCAGACTTTCGGTATGGTGCTCTTCAACTACTCGCTGGCCGGCACCCCAACCCTGCTGGGCTCCCCCAAAATGCCTTTGCCAGCTCTCAGCATCTCCACGCATAGCTGCAGCCAGCTTGGCCAAGTGCACGCCATTAAGAAAGGTGGGTGAGGACCACAGCTGCCCTGCAGCGAGCGTCTCCCCCAGGGATGGGCACCACTCTGGCAGCAGGGATGTTCTCCAGCTGCTCTTGCCCTTTTTGCCTGGGGAAAAAAAGGAACAATTTTGTACATTTAGTCCCTCTCTGGGACTGAGAAAGCTTTATTTCTCCTGACTTTGGAGAAGGACCAAGCCTAGATGCTGGGGGTGGTGGCCCACCCTTGCTACTGGGATGGAGGTGGCACCGACTGGGGATGGCAAGATGGGGGGACCCACTGAGATCTCCCGATTGTTGCAGAGGACAGCATGCTGGTGGCACCGGTGCTGGAGAGCATTGCTGTCCCAGTGGGACTGGCTAGCCACCACCTTACAGCAGCCGA